CTTTTATGCGTTTTTAAACAAGCTTACTTAAAATAGCAATAAAGATCAGTAACAGCAAAAAAGAAGCTTCGAAGCGATGTCATAATGCCTAGCTATAGAAAAAATTAGTTACAGCAAGTTTTTAAGCTGTCTATAAGCTTCTTTGTAGAATTTCATCACATACAAGCTAATACATATATATTTGCAATAATCATTATAGGACTTTGGTGTTCTAACGGGCCTACACAGGTCGCGAACGCGGCTTACCTAAAGCCTCTTCAAGTGTGTAATACTATTGTACTGCATGATGTATATTAGAAATAAAGAAAGAAGAAACGACATTTATTGACATACACAAAAAAAAAAGAAAATTATACAAAAAAGGATATAAAAACATTACAATAATGAAAAAAATAAATATAATTATCCAAATCACCAAAAGATAGTATGAAAAATTAAAAAGTAACCATCAGATAAAAATGATTCTTATACTTTGCTAATAACTGTGGAGAGTATCAATTGTTGCCAAAAATATATATGTACTCGTAAAATTTTGAAAAATTATGAAGACGGAAGATAAAAGTTTATAAGAAGTATTGGTTTTGTATGTAATTCTGTTCCGTCTCCAAAAAAATTAATCTACTGTTCTTGTATATACAATTATTGTAGAAACGAAAACTATTGGTACTGAATTCATAAAAATCAAATCAAGATCAATTTATAATTTTTTTATTCATATGTATACTTAAACTTTCAATAGGCATGTCACCATTATGAAGTGTTACATTATCAGAAAAAAAACCTATAACCACCTGTCTTATCGGCTATAGGTAATTTAGGTTCCGTACCCGAAGGGCGTCATCGCAAACTATGTTATGCATCCGGCTTTCCCTTTCACCTTTGAGGTATGTTATATAATTAATAATACGGCTTGGAAATATTGAACTTGTTTCAAATAAAAGTTTATATGTATATCGGAAAATTATATTTTCTATGAGTTTTCAATCTTTAAGTGTAAAATCATTAACCGAATAACATTTTTAAAACTAACAGATATTTTATCTGACACTAAAGAAATGGTTGAAAAACGAAAATGATATCTATAGACTAATCATATGACGATAAAAATCAAGAAATACTATGTAATTTTTAAGCTTACCAAACCTTTCTTCTCTTTCAGTATTCCTGACTGGAGAGTAGAAAAGTTAAATAGATATCTTTGTAACATTTTTTACATACAATTTATGGCATACCTCTTTCCTAACGACAGTTCGAAGAGTAAAGCTTCAGAAATCCACATTCATTGTAAGTATCATTCATATTCTTTTATTTTTAGTGTTTGAGATCCATCATACACGTCGTCGTGTTGACATGAAAATGTCCCTGGAGGTGCAGCCTCAGGTCACGCTAAGTTATTCATCAAGAGAGCATTGATGCGTAGAGCCGCGAGGAAAACTCTCACTGAAGCAAAACAAACAAAAAACGTTTCTAAGAACATAAAACACTCTTTGTTTTCACATAGTTTGAAACTGAGTGAAATTTAAAGTTGATACATCTGGCATGTACTGAAAATTATGAATTCATTCAGCAAGGCTTAGTTATAAAAAACATTTTTTTTTAAATACATTTACCTACTATATATAAAATAATATCTACGTATTAGATTTTATCGAAACATCAATATTGTTATATACGAGTTCATTCCAGGTCAGTTACAAAAAGATGTGTTTATAAATGAATTAATATTACATAATGTAATATTAATATGTGAAATTAATGAATTAGGCTTTATATTAATTTTTCTACAATAATTTCAAAGAGTAACAGCTATCTCATAGCACATTAATATTTTATTAAGGTTCATTATTAACATGTTTACTATTGTAACAAGAAATAGTTTTGAATATAAAATATTACTAATACTGTATTGTTACGACGCTTTCATAGTTATATTAACCTCATGGACCTTTTGTTGAAGTAAGAATTATGTGGTTTCAAACTTTTTGTTTGTTTTATGACTCAAAGCCATGGCAACAATTGGATTGTTGCTCTATGGGATATAAAAAGCAACATTTTAATTGTTATGGACATCTATTTCGATTCGTTCTGTATTTTAATTTTCATGAAACCTATGTATGGAGAACTATTGTTACAAATGAAATACTGGACTCATTTTATAAAGAGTTACATTGTTACATCATAAATAACATATTTTCCGTTTTATTATTATTATCATTTATCAACAATACAAAATAAGATGTGTTCAAAGAAAGTAAATCTCTATTTTCACTAAACTTAACTTGTTAATCAGGACAAATTGTGTTTGTACTTCCTTTTAAACGTTGTTTTTTTTTATTAAGACTATTATCAGTTAAACAAAGTGAAGAAGAACAACTGTTGTTTTATTTTATAAACGGAATTGTTTCATATATTCGTAAGATATTTTTGTAGGACTTACAAAAGTTAAATTCGACTATTAACTTGGCAGCTTATATATGAATTCTATTATTTTACTTAAGTTCTTAACAAATATCAATGCAATACATAATAATGAGTTAATTATTTATCTTATAGAACTTGCTCTTGAGATGAGGGATGAAGATTTCGGTGAAAGACCGCTTAATTGTAACTTTCAACAAATAGAAAGTTCAACGTAATTACAGTTACCTCTTTTGTAACGCTTACCCAATACTTTTGAATAAAAGTTAAAATATAATTTCAAAGCCACATTGAATGCTTTAACATTCTTAAAATATACGAAAAAAGACTTGAAGAAGCGTTGTGACATAACAATTAATTTATAACTATGTATAAATAAGTGTGTCCTAACAGAAGTGTTTGGACGAAGGTGTCATAAATCTTCTGACAAAGAGTTTCTTTATTTAACTACTCTTGCAAAGATGCCAACAACGCTGTGATTTATACAAGATATTACGTTTATATTCCAATACGTTCTATTTTAATGAATCTATTATTGTATGTCATTTATTCAAAGTACTTAGCTGAATATTTATAAAATCAAAACTGATTTCTAATTACATTCCATTACTTACTAACAAATATAAAATAAACAAAAAACATTTGTAGAGAATAGGTACTTGTTTCAATACTCGTACTAAATGCTATAGTGTTCTGCGGTCGTTTTAAAAGGTTTAACTCTCTTCAGCACTTTGTTATAGTGGAATGAAATAATTTTTTTTTGCACATAAATATGTACGTGTAAAAATAAATAAACTAAAATGGATGAAAAACCATTTTATTGGTGTATAGATGTATCATAATATGGTTATTTGATATTATTTGAGTTATGTATAATAGGCTCTTGATTAAAATAATTATTTATAAAAATAGACCCATCTCTTTTTCTTTTTATCCAGAATTTTTATAATCCTGTTGAAATGGGATAGAAATTATTGAAATTTTAACCTAAACTTGTTTGAATCTATTATCTCCGAATCAAATATACTTAAGAACATTATCAATCATTCATACTAAAAAAAGCCTAAACAAAATCTATAACTAAATAGCTCATCGTTTTGCTTCTACTTCAAAATTACTTCTAAAGTTTCAATGGTTCTTATTTATTTCAAGAAGCATGTTGCGTACATCTATGAATATACTGTACAAAATATTAACTAAATTTATCAAATTAATTATAATATAATATATTTCACGACTCATTTTCATAACTTGATTTGTCGACCAAGTAGTTGATATTTTATTATAATATCATTTAATGAAACACAATCACCACTAGGTCGTCGGGTCAGCAATGAATCACTTAATCTAAGTCAACATTATTACCTCTGAGATAATAAATATATTCTCGGAGACATTTAGAGGGTTACTATAACTTTCGCTATTACAGTAAATATTCAAGATAAGAATATATAACTGTCTTTGTATAAAATAATGTGGTTACTATTTGTCATGTGCAAATTGAAATACTCTAAAAATTCACATCTCGTCTGCCCGTGATTACGGTTGATGAAAAGTAATCGAAACGTCGGGAGTATGTAGTTTTTAAAATAATAAAATACGCGTAGTATAATCCGAGAAATTTTAGTTTCATTGAAACGAATACTCGCGAAAGTTTTGGATAAAACTATCGATCTATTCTTTTTTAATTTATATAACTCAATAGGAGTATTAAAAACAATATGAACTTCCTGTCAAAGCTCTTAAACAAACGACAGTTGGAACTGTAAAAGAATAAGTCACAATGAAGTACTTAATTATCTTGTGAGATGAGACGAAACTTCTTAGCATTGGATTGGATTCATGGATGGATGGATGCCGGATCCATCGTTGCAGGAAGAGGAGCTTCGATAGTGCCTGGGACTTGAAACCCAGGTGTAGATATATGTAATAAATTTCCATAAAATATGCATAAATTCTGAGTTCAAGTGAAAATCAGAGAGAATCTAATGTAACTTAACTAAAAGATGAATTCATTCTTCTTAATATCAAACAATCATAGAAATATGTACCTACTCAAATACTTCAAAATTATGAATGTCAGTATTTTTGTATTATATCATGCAATCATTTAAAGTTAATTAGAAATGTAAAACTATTTTTCAAAATAGCATCTATATTAACCCCTTACCGCATACGAAACCATATATGGATGACCAAGTTTACATTTTTTTTACAAGCTACTGGTATGTCCGATTTTTTAAATTTAACCGACAACAGATCCGGAATTTCATGGTGAAACGGAATGTAATTAACTCATTCATGTCAAATGTCAGCTGTCAAATATTTTTAAGGTTATGTTGAGCGCGTGCGGCGGAGCAGGTGCAGCGAAAAAAGTGTAATTTTTAATTTAAAAAAAAACATATCAAAAAGGTGATTAAACGGTTGAAAAAAATACCACAGTATTCTTTTATCTTTCTTATAAACGGTGAATGTTTGATTTTTGCTTTGTTTTGCATATTTCGACGTAATTATCTACTTTTTCAAAATTGTCATATTTGGCTTGGTATGCATTTAAGGCTTCTTTCTTTTTTGTTCTAGAAATGGACCCAGCACGCTTTTATGGCACTGCAAAACATGTAAACATCATTCCAGGTGATGGAGACATTAGTGACGATGATGTTGATTCGGATTGTGACGATAATTGTAATATTGGCTCCATTAGTTTAACTCCTAAACGACATATCATTATACCGGAGTCAGAATCAGATTTTTCTGAGGAAGACGACGTCCCTTTGACAAGTATTCAGACGGCAACAACGTCTAAAGCCAAAGGAAAATCTGTTAAAAAGAAACGAGTTATCTGGAAAGAAGAAAAAATGCCAGCTTACGACGTCTACAATTTTCAATTTACGGGTAATACAGATTTACCGGACACTATAAAACAACTGGATTCTCCGGCAGATGTGTTCAGGTTCTTGTTCACAGCTGATATTATTCATTTCATTACGGAGCAGTCTAACCTCAAGTCTATTCAAGAAAATATTAATAATCCAGCTATGATTACGACCGAAGATATCGAAAAATTTATAGGAATTGTAATCTTTATGTCCTGCGTAAAGTTACCTGCAACCAGAAAGTACTGGTCAAAAGAAGTTGGACAGACGCAGGTCTACGAAATTATGACTTGTAACAGATTTGAATCAATCAAAAGGTTTTTACATTTCAATAATAATGAGAATTTTGTACCTCGAGGACAAGATGGACATGACAAATTATTTAAAAATTCGGCCTTTATTGAATATGATTCGTGAACGTTTGATGCTAGTCCCTAAAGAAGAGTTTTTAGCCGTAGATGAACAAATTATCCCTACCAAATGCCGTCACGAATTAAAACAGTATAACCCTGCTAAACCTCACAAATGGGGTTACAAAAACCAAGTCCTGAGTGGCGTTAGCGGTTTTAGCTATGATTTTGATATATTTGCTGGGGACCAAAGTAATTCCTACCCTTCAGATGCGCCAGATCTTGGCGTAAGTTCAAATGTTGTCACACGATTGACATCTACAGTTCCACAACATCAAAATTACAAAATTTGTTTCGACAACTGGTTCAATAGCCCAAATCTTCAAGTATATCTTTACAAAAAAGGTCTACTTCCGTTAGGAACCGTGCGACTCAATCGTGTTCCAAACTCCAACATGCCTTCTGAAAAGGAACTAAAAAAGCGAGGACGCGGTAGCATGGCAGAAAAAGTAGCAGTCATAGATAAAGTGAAGTTGAGCTTAGTTTCTTGGTTCGATAACAAGAATGTGAATCTTCTTTTAGCCTACGTTGGAAGTGAACCCACAACAACAAAGCGGCGTTATGTTCGCCAAGATAAAGAATATGTTTACATACCTTCACCCCAAGCTGTAGATGTTTATAACCAGCATATGGGAGGAGTGGATTTACTAGATTCTATGCTGGGTTATTATAGAATCCATTTGCGGTCTCGTCAATGGTACAAGAGGATTTTTTTTCACATGGTGGACATGACACTTGTCAATGCTTGGTTGTTATGGCGCCGAATCAATGCTGACTCATACATGCCACTTTATGATTTCAAACTGGCCGTTTCCGAACATTTGCGTAAAGCAGGAAAAGCAGTTATGACCAAGAAACGTGGTCGTCCATCGAGTATTGTTGGAACTCCGACATCCAGCCGGGGTGGCACTCCCTCCCGTATTCCTGAATCTCCAGTTCCCGCAAAAAAGACACGAAAAACGCCAGCTAGGCATCAAGACTTGCCTTTGGCGTCCGTGCGTACCGATGGGATTGGCCATTTTCCGATTTGGAAGAAGAATGCCCGACAAATATGCCAAAATTGTTCTAAATTTCGTTCTTTTACATTATGTGAAAAATGTAATGTTTATTTGTGCTATAATGACAAACGCAACTGTTACAAAGAATTTCACGAGGAATAAAATACTTTACACGTAAATGCATACGAAGCCACATATGGCGTTGATTACTAACTTTTGAATTATAAGCTAATATTTTTTTTTTGTTGATTTGATCTCACTAATTAAGCTACAATAAACACATTTTTGGCAAAAAAAAAATTTTATTTCATCTCTTTCATAATTCATGCAGCAAGGGGTTAATTAAGGGCAAAGAATACGAAATTGTTGAGATTAGCATTACTATCGACATAAATTAAAAAAAAGATTTGACTGTTATGAAAAAAAAAACCACATCAATAGAAAAATATGGATACTTGAAAGTATTATAAAAGCTTAAATTAAGTTTAAATTTTATATGTACTAAATAATTAAATATTAATCTGCCGATTTCTAATTTGTTATATATTATCACTTAACTTCTCCTATTACACTAAGTATTGATCGTATCTTTTATGTAAAACTTTGCGACCTCCCCGGGATCACTGTACCATGAAATATGTTTTATAAGCATTTTTTGTGGCTCTTATGTCAGGACTATAATAGTAAATACAGCCCCTGTTTAATCTGTCTCCTGTAATTCGGCATGGTCTATTTTTTCATCAATCTTAACGCTAACGTACCTATGTATTGAACAAATTATAACTTGAGCTTATCATTACTTTTGTGTTCGATGCCTAGGGAATTCTTAGATTAAACTTGACTACCTGTGATGGGGATAACGGCAAGATTTATTCTTCGAAATACATATTATAAATGTCAAAGCACCACGTCCAAGTTTATTATTAAGAGTTGTGACGTCAGAAATTTTGTCGTCACTTACACTATGTCTGATTAACCATTTTTCACCAATGAAGCACTCACACTTACTTGCACCACTTTATTTCCAAGTATAACTAACACTTGTAATCTAATAAGCTACCTCTTGGATAGCTATTAGACTACTTTATCTCCACCACCTACGTTTTCGAATATAAATTGGTTTTTGTGGAGTTTTTTACTCTTTTAATTTTAAATAATAAGTTACAACGAATAATCGTAGTAATTCAAATAATGAAAACTCATTACGCAAGTTTTCGTAATTAATTATTAAATGATGAAAATTTTATATTATTACTTAATATTTTATAGAAAACATAATTTAATAATATGTATTACAAAATGGTTTATGTTTGTTTTTGTTTTACTAAAACTTACAGAATAACTTACCTTCGCAAATTACAAATCACGATACGAATTAACATTTACTGTTCTTTAATACAAATCATACAACGATCTGTAAAACAAATAATTTTGATAGTAATAAGCAACGCCATGACATTGTTTACACATCTCTAAAGTAAAATACTTATCAAACAACTATCTTAAGAGATATACGAACGAAATTTAAACCCATTATAAGGAATGGGTTTAAATTTCGTTCTGCCGACATGACGTTTAGAATTTTATCATCAAATCTGGAAAATGTTGCATTACAATTACATATATGGATAGAAATCCGGACTATAGAGGCAATACTCTGTAATGCTACAAATTCAATAGTCCACACCTCCATTGAAAATGTTGGTCGGATTATTAGGAGTAAACTTTCTCTTAACATTATAAGCACAGTTTTTATAACTATTAAAAAATATATATTGTGATATTCTGTTATAAATACTATTTGTTGACCTTGACAGTTGACATTGTTTGTCGTATACCTGGAATAAAACATAGCAAATTGCTTGTAAGGCTTCGGATCACTTACTTCATTGCACCTTATCAGGGGACTGTCGACTAAAGGTACTGTTTGAAGCTTAGAAAAACTCAAAAAGATGTGTTTCGGTCAAAAACTCTTAATTTATTGAGACCCTAAATAGGTATCAAAGCTAGAACTCCTTGTAAAAATGTTCAGCCAGCTTTTTAACGTATAAAACAAAGCTATTATTCTTTTATATTAGGTGTACAACTTTGCTTCCGCCGTTTTTTTCCGAAATTCGTGGCTTTATTGTAAAAAACTGGTTATACATTTATGATTCAAAGTATTGTCCATCGCTGGCCACTACTTTCTCTCATCTTTCGGGCAGCATACGAATCCCGCGTTGAAAAAACTGGTCATCTTTTGAAGCGATCCACAAATAGATCCAATTTTTAACTTCTTAATAAGACCGGAAGTGCTGGTCAGCCAGGCCGTGTGCCATTGATTGAAACAAGTGATAGTCCGAGGGAGCAACGCCTGTAGAATAGGGCGGGTGGGGTAGGACTTCCCATTTCAACGTTTCCAAGTATGTCTTGACCACTTTCTCAACATGGGGTCGAGCATTGTCGTGCTGTAAAATCACTTTATCATGTATCTCGTTGTATTGCGGCCGTTTGTCTTTCAATGCTCGGCTCAAACGCATTAATTGCGTTCGATAACTATTGCCTGTGATTGTTTCAGTCGGTTTTAACAACTCATAATGCACTACGCCGAGCTGGTCCCACCAAATACAGAGCATACCTTGGAACCGTGAATATTCGGTTTGGCCGTCGATGTAGAAGCATGGCTGGGATATTCCCATAATTTTCTGCGCTTGGGATTATCGTAATGAACCCATTTTTCGTCCCCAGTCACAATGCGATGCAGAAATCCTTTCCGTCTTCGCCTTGCAAGCAGCTATTCACAAGCAAACAAACGCCGTTCAACATCTCTCGGCTTCAACTCGTACGGCACCCAATTTCCTTGTTTCTGAATCATTCCCATGACTTTCAGGCATTTTGAAATGGCTTGTTGCATCACTCCCTATGATCCTGCCAATTCTTGTTGCGTTTGACACGAGTCTTGATCAAGTAATGCCTCCAATTCTGCATCTTCGAAAACCTTCTCTCTTCCACCGCCATGCCGGTCTTCGACGTCAAAATCACCGTTCTTGAAGCGTTGAAACCACTCTCGGCACGTTCTTTCACTAATAGCAGCCTCACCATAGGTATTTGAGAGCATTCGATGAGCCTCAGCCTCAGATTTGTTCATATTAAAGCAGAAAATTAAAACCTCCCGCAAATGACGAGAATTTGGCTCTTAAGCTGTCATGTTTAATCGAGAATAACTTTATGATGCAGACACAAATCGACTAATATTTCGATGGCGTTATGTTTACAAATACCTAAGCTTATTGTATGACATCTACGATCTATTTATTTCGACTACCACTTACCGCTACAACCATCTATTGCAAAACGGCGGAAGCAAAGTTGTACACCTATGTATATTTCAATTATATATTTTTTTTATTGTAAATAAACAAATAAAAACATAAAATTGCTATAATAAAATTTATGTCAAAATAACATATTATTTATTAGTGCTTAGTTAAGTGGTTATTCATATTTATTCAACATTCTCGTGGAGATTTACCACTTTTACCAAAATTTTGTATTATAACAAAGCTTTTATAGTCAAATTTACTTCATGGAATTTTTGTTGTAAAAATATTATTTAGGGTCACAGTTTTAGGGATAATAAATACTTTTTATGGCAACAATAAAAAGTGGTGACAACAAATGTTACTCTTTTCACTAAAATATAAATAGACATCGAAAATGTTTTGTAAATCCACTCTGAATTGTAAAAGAAACTAAGGATTAACAAAAAAAAAATGAGTGAAAATTTTATACGCAATAATTTTGCTGTACCTTTTTCACAGTATATATTAAGAAGATTTTGTTTGCGTAACATAAATAGTTTCATATTATATTTCGCGAGTTTGATGTAAATTACATCTTAGTAAATTATATGCGGTTTTAAAATAATGTATATAGATATCTTTTTATAAAGATGCCAAAGAGTAAGCGATTCACGTGTTGACTTATAAAAAGTTGGAAGCTTAGCTATCAAATATCTCTTACTTGGCACAATTCAGATAAGATTCAAGATAAGATTCAAGAATAGAGAAAATGAATAATTTTGTTATGATGTCAGAGAGATAAAGGTCACTTAGAGAATTCATACACAACTGTAACAGTAGCTAGTATCTTTGTTATATTATACTTCTTAATTCAAAATAGAAATAACAATCTGAAGTCAATAAAAATTCATGGTTTTGGACATTTATATATAGGAACTGAAATTTAATTATTTTAGAGAAAAGATTAACCTTAACTGTCCCAATTATTACAACCAATTATAATTTAAACGATGTACCTAATCGATGAATTTATTTAAAATCATATTTAACAAATCAAAACACACTTTTAATCCCATTGTAACGAATACCTTAAAGGCCCAATTGAAATAATTTCCAATTCCTTAAAATAAATTCAAGCTATTTATATATAAATGAGTTATATTTAAAATATTTAATAGAAAATTATTATTTTAAGCTAAGTTATATCAACCTATATATTTAAATGAAACTGTCATTTTTGCATTATACTACGTGTGATTTATTATTTTAAAAAACTACATATGTTTCGGTGACTTTTCAGCACCATTGATTATGGGCAGACGAGATGTAACCTATACATTTAAAGCTCTAAGGTTGAACAAGTAGTAGCACCAGCACGTCTCCCGTATGCTATCAGGAATCTTTTAGTCCACACGTCCTAACCGTTATCGCAGCCAGCAACTTCACCCGTCAATCGTATGACGTTTGTTTATTTTTTTTTTATATAACACTATAATCTTTAACACATATAAAGGTAATTGTATATATCTGTTTCCAAGAATTATGATTCAGCCGATGGCTATATAGTTATAATATGTGTAAGTGGAACTTACATAGTATCGGCCCATTAGCTCAGTTGGTTAGAGCGTCGTGCTAATAACGCGAAGGTCGCGGGTTCGATCCCCTCATGGGCCACAAATAGTTTTGTTTTGTAACTGAAACCTATTAAATTTTTGTTGCGCTATTCTTGTAAAAGCTTTAAATTTACCGATAATAACAAATCAAAAGTACCAATATAAGAGCTTCAAATTGGATTAAAATGTTTTATACAAGATATTCTATGAATAATTCTGAAAATTGAAGAAATCAATTTTGACTTAAGTATATGTTGTTAATACTTAA